GATGGTGGTGGGATGAGGCAGGTGGTGGAGCATGGCCAGATATGGAACGCAGTGAGGTGTTGCTACATCCAGCGTGGGAGGCGGTGGGGGGTGTACGTGGCCACGCTAGGCTGGTTGTTCTGCAGACAGCATTGACACTCATTGCAGATGTGACTATATACGTGAGTTGCTGCGAGGGTGGTGACAGCCGCTGCTGATCGCTGTGCTGTTTGCCACACTGCACTCACATCAAGCATCATCGCCTACATTATTTGTCTACAGTACCGGCCTTTCTAGTCTATTTCGAGCGCGCGAGCTGTGTTAGGCGTATGTTTCTCAGCGTTTATTGACGTTGTCTACCTTTGTTAGCCTAATTTGATTTCAAAATGTAAAATTTTGCGTCCGGCTGCACCTAAAATAGACCGAAAGTAATTACACTGACTCCTTAGTTTTTGACGTAACGTCGTGTGTGCCTACTTGTTAACTCAGTCATCTCGCTCACCGCTATAACAATACACACTTAGGTTAGTATAGGTTGGTGGGCTGCAGTGTTTGCTATACCATATGCTTAAATGTACATAAATAGTGGGTCTCGTGTAGCAGTGTTAATCGAATCTCACCATAACCATTGCAATACGAAACTATGGCTGACCGAATATAGTAATTACATGTTGTTGTTTTTCGTTCCAAACCATCATTAGTAGGTATTTCTCACCCAATAAACACTTAAAACGCCCCCTCCCCCACTCTCCCCCCACCACCACCACTACGCTCGCGCTCGACGCATATTCATGATAACATGTTAATATAGCGAAGTCATTAAAGTTACACAGCTGTATCTTTATTACTGTACTACCGGTATGGCAAAGCCTAGCTATCATAGATTTTAGATCTGTATTAGTAGTATCCTAGATATATGCTCTGAGCGCGAACGCGGTGATGGGAGGGTGCTCTTCATCTGTTTGCCAGTGAGTTTAGCATCAGAACACCTGCCGTCCGGTGAGCGCTGTCGCTCTGCGGCACTTGTTATTATTATTATTATTATTATCATCATCATCATCATCAAAGTGAATCACGATATTAGCAAGTGGTTTTTGGGTTGACCGTGTCACAATCCATAGGGATTTAATCCAGAAATCACACATGATATGTGTTGTCGCCATTAGAGCGGTTTTCTGCACTTATTGAGCGGTGTGGTTGCCAGGGACCCTTCTTGATAGAGTTAAGAGCTCCGACCACCACTTCCATTACTTTGTCTTTTTTATTATTAATTTGTATTCGTGTGCATCACACATGTGCTGTCTTTTTTTCTTTTTTACAATTTCTTTATTTCCAGGTATGTTACAAACATGTTACAGCCAAAAACAATACGTACTTGTACATATATATTTAACTTATATACATTATA